CTTCCACAGAATCTTTGTTACCAAGTCACATACTCTAAAACATATTGGTGCTTGGCATTTCCTCCTAGATAAATTTTTTTTTACAATAATCTAGTGTCTTTCATGATAACTCCAACCCATCATACTGACATTCTGGAAAATGTCTCATTCCTCCCAAAATATTTAAATTTTTAACCTGTAGTATGCAAATTTTTGTTTAAAGGTAGTAACTTAATATTTACGTAACATTTAGAGATGAAATTGATAGGTGCTCATTTTGTAAAATATTCTTGAATAAAAGTAAGTTTTCATATTTATTAAATACTGATAATTCCAGACTCTCAAAATAATACTTAATTTAACCTTTACCTGGTGTAGGAACTTTAAACCCTGTATTACATCACTGCTGGGCAGACTTTAGTTCCAGGTTTTATGGTTCAGAAGTATGTTTAATTCTGTCCAACCAGGCTCAAAGTATAATGTATGGGTACAATTCTATGAGTTCATTATACATTTATAAACACCAAGAAAGTCAAAACAGATTCTTCAACTTATGGATAACAACTGGACTCATATGTGGTTTGTAGAGGACAGTGGACAAATTTTATGAAAATTCTGTTTATATTTTGTCTGGTTGATTTTGTAAATTATTGTACTTTAATTTTCCTGTATCTTATTTGTCTTTTCATTTTAGTTCTGTGTGTTTCACTTACTGTAGATGTTAGAGAAGACAAATGTGCTGGTGTCAGTCAGTGATCAGACAAACCCCGAAATTATACTAATAGTAATTCAGTCTTGAATTGGAATTTAAGTCACTTGTTCTCATCATTATCAAACCAAACTCTTCGCAGTATTTTGGAGTCTTCATAAGCAAAACCAACTAATAATACAGTTATTATAAGATAAAAATTGATGAGAAACAAGGAGAGAACAAAATGTCACTGTAACCTATAATATTTCTTCTTACATTATATTAACAAGTCAGAGTTAATTTAATCTCAGCAATAATGACTAGGATTTTTTCTTTTTCACCCACTTGTTTCAAATAAATGCTCATATCTGTTATTTATTTCAGAAACTCATGATTCTTTTGTCTACTGCAAACAATTAATAATCAACTTTTTACCAACAGTGTAAAACTGAAATTTTAAAATTACAGTCGTTTTATGACCATACTGTGATTAATGTGACTCGTCAACGAAACTGTTGAACATACTTATATAGTGGGACATTTCCAGAATGTTTTTTGTGCATATATTTAAACCAAAATAATATCAATATTTTATCATTAATTACTACATGCTACTAATTATACTGTGGTCTGATTCCAAACTCTACCCCGATGTATCATGTATACCACCTCTGAATGCAGAATAATGGAAATTCAAAGGTGTCATCTCATAGTTACCCCAAATAATCATAGCCTACACTAAAACAAAGACCAAATCTAAATATTAGTTTACATGAAACCTATATATATATATATATATAACATTATTATATTTATACTATATATTACTACAATTTATGCAGTAATGTTAAAAGTTGCATGTACAGAATAAGAATGGGTTTGTATATAAGAGTATATATAGTTATGTAAATATACTGTTGTGTAGTTTGTACGGCAGACATGCATATCAAAAGTTCTGGGGAGACAACAACTTAGGATAAGTACAACATTAGTTTTTAAAATTAGTTAAGTTTCCATGTAATAATTCCAACTTTAGATTATTATTGTTTATTCGATTTATTCTTGGGCCAAGAGCAATGTGTTTCTAACTTGGTAGTGCTGTTTTTCTTTTTCTGTAGAAACATACTGGAATATCAATGATACAGTTGTTCAAAATATATATGAATAAAGCATACAGTTTACAAATAAGAAGAATATAACAGAGCCTGAATATTATTTACAGAAGTTATATATAGAGATGACCCAAATTCATATCTGTCTCTTCAGTCATTTAATCAGTTATTACTACATATGTTTAAATTATATTTAATAGTGCTGGTAATGCCTGGACTGTTGGGGAATGGTGAACCAGAGACATTTCTTACAAATTTACATTAGATCCATTAATAATTTTTTTACAGAGTGCTATAAAGTTGCAGGGCTGTATACTGAAACATAGATGGTGCTACAAACCGTGTTCAAAATCCTCCCAACACAGTGAGTCCTGCTTTGGAAAGTTCTGAAACTGACTAGAACGAGTCAGTGAGTAGTCAGATTGAAGAAATTGTTAAAAGCTTTTGTATTCAGGATAGAAGAATACATTTTTTAAAACAAGAATTATTTTTTGTAATAATGTTTAGCATATTTTCTTTTCTTTTTTTAAATGTTCAATTTTTATTTAAAAAACATGTCAACAACAAAGTAAATAATTAATATTTTTGTCAAATGTTAGTTCTATTTGCAAGTAACAGACACTAATCTTTTTTGTGCATTTATTACTTTTGTAAATTATGAACTTAAAATTCTTGGTTTTATATACCCAAGGTAATCAGTAAAAGTTATGAAGAAATTAATTTAAGTTGATCTGATATCTATTTATTTTGAACCTTATCCAGGGAATGAGAGGTGTGAGTGTAGTTTCATGACCAAAAATAGGGACCTGAAAATTCATATAACATATTTCTCGAATTATATGTAGAAGGATGAAAAAATATATCCATGTGGCAAACTTATTGTTGTCAATCCTGTTTTCCTCTTAAGTTAATCAATTTAACTTTAAAATAAAACACTAATTATGCATTTTTAATTTATAATGATAAGGTTATGTCATAAAATGATCTCAATTATAACCATTTCAATATTAATATGCATTGCTAAAACTGTTTTTTCTTCTTTCAAATTACAATAAATTTTCAATACTGATAAAATCTTTTCACTGCCACATTACATCACTGATGGTAAACTTTTCCTCTCTTGGCACTTAGCCATAATTTCAATCTTAAGTAATTTATTTTTATTCTGTTAGTTCCATTAGATAGATATCCTCACATATAATATTCAGTTACAATTTGCATTCTGGACTACAGGTTACATTCTGATGAACAGTAATGAACTAATTAATATAGTAATAACAGTAATAATCAAATCAATCTCTTAAATGGGAACACAGATGTAGCTGCCATGACATATATACACTACGTTAATTTTATCACAAAATTCTAGCACATGCATACAGGATTAAAATATTTAAATTTAATAAAATGTTAAGTAATCTGCTCTAGCAATCTGAGTTGAATTAAACATTTCTTACTTATAAACTGCATCAAAAACAAACTTTTAGTATCTACAGAAAGATAGCGAGAGATAAATCTTTGAATGAGAATGTTATATATTTCCAGTCTTCTTAGTAATAAATGATCATTATGAAAGTGTTTAATTTATGTAAACTGATATAATAGGAAGTACAAATATTTTTAGACATATGAATAAATATCTGACATGAGTGTTTCAGTATGCTTATGAATATATTCAAGAAGCACTAAATGCCACAAGAAACAGTTCTGCCTCTCACTTACTGGTCTGTACAAAGTCTGTGTGAGGTACAGAGTAGTATTGGATAAGCACGGAACACATTGTTCACATTTCCCAAGTTTTGCCTTCTTATGATGCCTACTGAGTATGACAGAGATCAAGCTGTAGACAGCACTTTGTACAGAAACAAAGGAAGGCTAGTTCAGCACATTTTACTTGTTAAAATAATATTCCCTTCCAACAAAAATAACAAAAAAGAGTATGCATTGTGATAGTAAAATTATTTCCACAAAGACCTTTAAATTTATGCTTTTTGTTAAAAATGGACAGTAGTTAGTACATGATTTGCAGATGGAAAAGGAAATGTATTGTTGACATGTTTGCGCTAATTGATATAATATAAAAACGTTCAAATGACGCTGCAAATTTCATGGAAAATGTTGGAATTAAAAGCAGTGATTATCACCAAAGTTTCTTGAGTAAGGAATAGATCCATTTTTCTTCATTTTCAGTGGATTAAATGTTTGTATCCAGATTTTACGTACATCTAACCTTGACTTTGGTAACATTTCACCAATAATCCAACATGTTCCACTGAGTATATATTTTCATTTATTAACCTTTCCAGATATTCCAATTGATTGTAACATGATTATTATTACAACACACCTTTGGTTATTACTGCTGAAGAAGATATGTAATTTGTGTTGCCTAGTAGCTAAATAAATGAAAACAGATTATTAACCACATATTTTCAGACTTCAGGAGTACATATTGTAACAGACAGTGATATATTTGTAAGTACAGAAATAACAAAGTAACCAGAGATTTAAATACTTTGAATGAGATGTAAAGAAATGTGATTTCTGAGACCAGAGTCCATTTTAGTTTAAAACAAAGGACATTTCCTCGCAGTCAATATGTTTGTATTTTCAAATTTCACAAAATTTTACGTACAGAATTTTACAACCAAATGTGACAAATTTAAAAGAAGTACACTGAAGATGGTTTTGATGGTATCAATAATTTATGACAACTGATGTGCAACAACAAAAAATTTTGTTGTTGACATAATGAATTATTGAATGTTTATCTAACTTTCATTGTGTGCAAATATAAAAAGCTTATTCCATTTGTATTTAACCTTGCTGTCAATTTCCTTCCCCCATAATCTGAGAACACAAATTTTTGCCCTCAGATTTCACTGTTGGATTTTGATGTAAAACTTAACTTTTCAGAACTGAGCCGCATCCAGTGTTGTCCAATGTTTCGGCAAACATACAGTTGCCATCTTCTGGGCGAGTATGTTGGTGCTTGTCGCCAATTGGATAGCAGCCCGCGCTCCCACACCGCCAATCACATGCATTTTCCTCTGATAAACTTTCGCCACATATCAATTAATTAAAATGATCAGTAAAGTTCAAAAGTGACGTCACTTGCAACTCCTTCAATTTTCATCCTCCGTTTTCTTCAGACATTCTTAAATGATTTCTGTATCCTTCTTTATCCTCTAATGCTAGTTCCTTCAGCAAGGTTTCTGATGCTCCCAATCGATTTCTTCTTAAGATCCATTGCCTCACCCAAAAACGACGTTTCTTACGATTTTTGCTCATGTTAAATAAAATTGTTTTTAGTTCTTCTTTTAACAAAACAGTTACTATCCGTACAACTTCACGCACAACTGCTTTCGACGCCATTTTTAACTGAAACTGTTGATCAGTTTCTATTGAAATGTGTGAACAAAAACTGATTTAAGTCATATTCAACTTTTGTTGATCAACTATAATCGGTCAATTAAACTTGATTCGTGAGAACGCGCCTTTAGAGTATACCTTATTTAGTCTCACCACTGTCACTTGTGAATGCGCGTGCGCCATTGTGACAAATCAACATCAAGCGCCGTGGCGGGCTGTCGATCCATAAACTGGGGATAACGTTAATTTTCCTGTTATTGTGGATGTGAACGATCATTTTAGGCATTATTTCTAACAGAAATGGAAGAGACAAAAGTACAGCAAGAACAGGACCAGCAGAAGGATATCGAAGATGAATGTGGGAAACAGAATGAACAAAGCGAGGAAGGAAACGCTGAGGTTAGCTGGAATATAATTTATTTATATTTCATAGGCCTAATCCAAGGATGTAGAACAGGTCATAACACAAATACAATACTTGTTTCTAGAACAAATGTAAATACATAGTTATAACAGCTATTTACATATTTTTGTAACTACAGTATCACAGCGAAATAATTATGACGAGAAACCATCACTGTTGTTACATATATTTCTAAATTCTTCTACTGAATAGGTGATATTCTTTTAACGCTGGCGTAAACATTTTTATATCATGATTTAAACTTTTGATAGTAGGTGGAATATTATTGAATAACTTAATTCCAATATAGTAAACTCCTTTTTGATATTTACCGAGGTTAGAATTTGGCACATGAAGGTTGTATCTATACCTTGTTCTTATATGGTGGATATCAAAATTTGTTTGAAATTTTTCCATTTTATCCATTACAAATGATATTAGTGAGAGCAAGAATTCACTGGGTAGTGGAAGAATATTAAACTTCTTAAATAATTCCCTGTAAGAGGCTCTACTTTTAGTGCCTGCCATTATTCTAATGATCCTTTTTTGAATGTAAAATACTTTTTTGCTGTCATATGCTCATCCCATTTCTCCTTTTAATTTTTCTTATGTCAGAATATGTGGACCTTCAGGTGGTTGAAGTCAGTTGTGTTGGAGGTAGATGAATTCAGTTCTTATATCTTACAATTTGTGGTAATTATGATACTCACCCCCACCCCTTTTTTGCAGGAAAATGATGAGAAGAAAGAGCCTGAAGAACCAGAGCATTTTAGGAAGCTGTTTATTGGTGGGCTTAATTATGAAACCACAAACGAATCACTGAAGGCATATTTTGAGAAGTGGGGAGTAATTGTAGATGTTGCTGTTATGAAGGATCCAAAAACATATAAGTAAGTTTCATTTAAACAAAATCTAAGGAAATTTGGTAACACCTGTTACCTGATTTGGGACATCTATAGAGGCATCTATCTGGAGGGGGCACAAAATTTTAATAAATTAACTTTATATCTGCATTTTGTTTGCTACTTAAGCACATTTTTATTAATCTATGTTTTTATTTTAGTACATAGACATTTATTTTTAAGCTATAACATTTTGATGTATTAATATGGGGTACTGATTTTGTATCAAACAACAGTAATGGCTCATAACTTGTTTTTCTTCTGCAACAAAGTGAAATATGAAAGTGTAAAATTATAGTACATTGAAGGAAAGTTGTCCCTGATGCATATGCATGCTTGTTTCCACTAAAATTATAGAAAATACTTATTCAGTGATTAACATGAAAAGGGCAAGTAGTTGCAGTTTTTCATCTGTATGTTGCACAACTGTTTTGTCCAGTCCTATCCTCTTCATTTTATTTCAACACTGCCACATTCCTGACTGTCTTCTGATGAAATATGGCTTCCATCAAGCTCTTTCTCAGACTGTCACAGTTCAGCTCTTCTGTTATGCCAGATATACAGAGATATTTAGAAGAGCCCACTGTGTTTACCTGCTGTCTGTGACTTGAAAAGAAAATATGAGTAGAATCCAGCTCTGCTCACTTATTTTAGGGGTACAAACTACCACAGATACCTTAACACTGTTTTGTTGGATTTCTTTTTGTACTAATGCTTTCAGGTTATTTGTTCTGGATGGAAGCTATAGTAATAATGGACTCAGTACAGTTAACATGATATTAAAGTTCAGCTAAATCCACCACTGATTACTCCAGCAGTGAGTGACTTTATCTTATGTAGCTGCAGGTTTATAACGTGATCAACAATTCTAAAAATAGAAGTGGTTCAGTGTCTAAGTAACATCTGGTGGGAAACAGAACAGTAAAATCTTAACCACAAACAACTTGAAGTACAACAGCACATTAATGTAGTAACCAATATTTACAACAGACTGCACCACAGTTTGAACAGGAAACTGTCCCCAGGAACAATGAAGCTTAGTTTGCTTAGAGTATACAGAAAGGCACTGAAGTGGGTTGATCATTATAAGCATGTGTAACATCAGAGTGATCATTTGGTGTTCTGAAGATTAAATCAATCATCACTAAATTACTATCCATTTGTCCTACAAGGATTAAATATTTTCTTACAAGATGACATGTATTGTTGAACTTTAAATCAGAATTGACTAGTTTGATACTAAGAGCGAGGGGGAAAAACATGTGGATTAATTACTCGTGTAATTAATGTAGTTGTTTATTTATTGTCCAGAACAAGTGGATTTGATTGATGGGCATAGGGTGTACCAGTTGCCTTACAAGAACTATTTACTAATTTACAAATATACAGTAATTGGTTCTGTATAATATACAAGCTCCTCATTGTAAAGGAATGCTGTCATTTAGAAAGTTATTGCTGATGTGTACCTTTTTTGTGTTTATAGATCGCGAGGATTTGGGTTTGTTACATATTCCCATTCACACATGGTGGATGATGCCCAGGCTGCTCGGCCACACAAGGTGGATGGCAGGCTTGTAGAACCAAAAAGAGCTGTTCCTCATAAGGTAAGAATTTATTTGCATAAGGAATAGCCACCCAATTTAGTGTATGTTCTTTAAATGTGCTTCAGTGAGCACTTACATTTATTGCGGGTTATCTTTCATGCTGTTGTTTGTGGTTATTTATTAAAACTTATTTCAGTATGTATAAGTTGTATATGACAATGACAGTACGGATTAAACACAGGAGTCTTGCTTTTGAAAACATATTTGAATTGTGTGATGGAGGTGGTGGTTGCAATTAATTTGATGATTTGTTGTTTACTGAATTTATGTTTATTAAAACAGGGAAAATGGGAAAGAATTTTATGCTAATGGGTCTGTCAGAGGCAGTAGATCATACAAATAAAATGGTTAAGGACTGTATTCTTTTGCTTAATACCTAAATGAATCTTATGGCTTCCCTATGTAGTGTTGCCTTTGATAGTCTTTATGGATTTAATCGCGTGAAACGGGGCTAGTTATCGTTCTGGAGACTATTTCTGCCTCTGTGTTCAGGGTTGACTTGATCACATTCACAGTATTCGTCATTCATTTAGTGAAAATATTTGCACATTTTATAATAAAATCTATGCATTATGATTCTTATGTTCACATTTAAGTAAAAATTAGTGTTTTTTAATATTTCTCACTTTGGGAAGAAGGTGAAACTTTGTGTGTGAAATTGTAATTTTTTTCCCAATTTATCGTCTACTACAGCATACATTACTTTTATCAATATTACAACTTAAACCAAATTGATCTGTATGTCTTCTGTGTCTTCCTGTTGCCTATCACTTGACTGAAACAGTGCAAAGTCTAATACCATATCAGATTTGAATTTGTCACATTACTTTTTGCTTTGATTTTATTACATAAAACAGTTTATGAATTTGTAATTCATACAGGATAGTCGACGTCCAGAAGCAAGTGCAACAGTGAAGAAGCTATTTATTGGTGGCTTGAAGCCAGATATGGAGGAGGATGACCTTAAGTTATATTTCCAGAAGTATGGTCGAATTGTGTCCTGCAACATTAGTAGAGATAAAGAGACTGGTGTTAAGCGTGGTTTTGGCTTTGTTGAATTTAAGGACTATGATGCTGTAGATAAAATATGTTGTAAGTAGGTTTCTTCTTTCTGATGGAAATTAATTTTCAACATTAACTTTCAACATGCTATTAATTTTAATTGAGCAGATGTTTTCAGTCCTTATTTTACTGATAACTTCTATTATAATTTATTGTATGCTGTAAGGGAAGTTGTAGAAATGTGTTTAGAAATTGGTCAGAGAGAACATGCAAGTCTGACAGAAAATGAACTCAAAGGAATTTGTTTAATTAGGAATTGTAATTATCGTATGAGTCTTCCTTGCCTTGCTGACTCCCATTTAATGTAAGAGTTAGTTTAATCAGCTATATGGAATTCTACAGAAAATGGCATCATTCATCATGCTGATGTGTACAAGTGATTACTGCCACTTTTTCTGTGTTGATTCACATATATTTCTTTTAGATCCATGAAGTGTTTGCCACTGCCAGTAGTTATTTTGTTTTATTTGTCTTGTTTTATTTATCACTTTGAATCTGTCTGATGGGCAGTAGATAACTGAATAAATTAGAGGTATTGTAGTTAACAGGATGATGTGCATTTTGTTTTCCAGTGCAGAAACCTCATGTGATAAAAGGTAAAGAAATTGATTGTAAGAAAGCCCTACGCAAGTCACAGTTACCACCATCTAAGAAACGTCAGAACAGTGGACGAAGAGGAGGTGGTTGCTGGGATGGCAGAGGCGTGTATGATGATGGTGAATATGAAGGTAAGGGTACTGGCATCTTTGATATTGTTGTTGCTGAGCAGCTGGTGGATACTGAACCATTTAGGGAATCTGTTGTTATGGAACCTGAAGATTCATAATTATCACAGAAGCCAGACATTGGAGGTAGTTGAATTCAAGCCAGGTGTGAAAATAGTTTGATGTCTTGTATGACTTTGTAAGATTTGAGGTTTTCACAGCAGTGAGTATGAAGATTTCTGTCTTCTGGGTTGTTGTGCTGTGTAGTATGGTATGGCGATTCTTCACCCTGATGACGGAGGCAGTGTGACCTCTGAAACGTTGGTTAACATCGACCAGACTACACAGCGCAACGACCCAGAAGACAGAAATCTTGTATGACTTTCTTTGGCAGCTTTGTAGTGTTGTTATTATTTTTGTTGGTGGTGTTGGTGCTGCTGTTATTGTTTGGGGGGTGGGGAAGTTGATAAAATTAACTTGGGCCTGAAATAGTTCATTTATTTTCTGTCACTTTTTATATGTTACATAATTTTTATTGGATGTCATAAGGGGACTATGAATAAAAGTAAATTCAATTTATCTATGCATAAAACATGTTTTGTTTAAAAACTTATTATGTAAATGGCTGCCTATGATTGATTCTTTAAATAGAAAATTTGTAATATGCTATTTATTGTTTGCTGTTGAGTGTTAGAGTTATAAAACCAAGAAGGTTGAAATTGACAGGGTGCATGGCATGTATGGGAGAAATTAGAAATGCACACAAAATTTTGGTTTGAATATTGGGAGAGAAAAGAACACCTGCGAGATGTAGTTGTAGGTAGCAGGATAATACTAAAGTGATGTTACAGAAATAGGGTGGGGGAATGTGGACTGTATTCACATGGTTTATAATAGAAGCTAGTGGCAGGCTCTTGTGAGTACAGTAATGAATCTTTGGGTTCCATAGAAAGCAGGGAACTTGACTAGCTGAGCAACTGTTGGATTCACAATAAGGACTCTGCTCCATTGAGTCAGATTTTCTGTGTTATTTTATTGTAACTGGGCTGTGCTCCCATAAATGCCATTACTGGCAGAGAGTATGATTTAATATGCATCAGGGTTAGAATGAAACCCATTCATGGTGCTTTTAGTCAATATGGTTGATCTCAGGTGATCATACCAGCAGTTATCTATGAGATGTGCAACAAAACAGTTGCATTAAAACAAATGAAAATGGTGTGACGTGGTTGAATACAGACATTTCAGGTGCAGAATTTTATTGAAGCAAGACCAGTGCTGATAGTTGTCCGCCAGCCAAAGTTCACGGGAGAATGCATGCTGTATATGAATGTGCATGTCTCAAAGACTTTGGTGGGAAGGTCATGCCAACTGTTTTGTTAAAAATCATTGGACCACTGATCGTGGTGTTGAAGGACCCTGATTGTCACCATCATTGCACAGTACTTTTGCAGAACCATCTGAGGCCTTTATACCACCATCATTTGAAAGCGTTCTTGTCTGGTGTCTCTTATGTCTTGTTGTTGTTGTTTGGTGGTTGTGGTGGTGGTGGTTTTTTTAAGACAGATTGTCAGATATGTTTTGTTTGTGGTTTCATCCTTTTATATGGTTTTGTGTGTGTGTGTGCATGCACATGCATGTGTGCAGATGATTTCTCTTACTGGTTTCTATGTTATGTTAAATTACCAGAGGACACTTGATTCTGTTTGATTTTATAAAATTTGCATATGTGTTACATTTTTAGAGTTCCTTGAGCATAATTGAGATTGTGAATTGTAGGGATTTGCTTCCTCACTACAGTTATTGTCTGTGATTAACTTGTTCTTCCTGTGTTATTTTCTATATTATACATTGTTATTTTGACAGAATTTTTATATTTTTCAAAAATATTTCACCAAATAAAGTTTTACTGCCCACCTGAACAGTGATAATACACAGGAATTCATATGCCCCCAAAGATTTTGTGGGAGAAAAACAATTGTGAAGTTAGAGAGAGACCTTTAATTTCTTAGACATTTGTTCAGGTTCTATAAATATTGCTGAATTAATATTTTTAATTATTGGGACGAATGTGATGACTTGAACCAGTTTTTGCATATAAAATAAAACAGACTTAATTTAATTTAAATAATTTGCCATTAGAGAAGGATATTTTTTTATGTTTTTAAAGTTTAAAAACTGTGTATTAGTATTGTTATGACTCATACAGGTGGCTCATGGTTTGACTATCCAGGGGGTTCAGATCATCCAGGAGGTGAGTACTGCGGCCCTAATTATTCCAGTGGAGAAGAATTCTGGGGTAATGATGATTTTGGCAGAGATTATCAGAAGAATTATGGAGGAGGACCTGTTAGGGATGGCTTTGGATTTGGTGGTAGAAGACAAGGCCCATATTCAGGTTTGTTACATGTTCTTGTTAGATACTTGTACTTCTTTGCATTTAGTGTTAACTATTTGATTGTACTGAAATTAAATTATGATCACTGAATCAGAAGTAATTTCTGATGTACTGAGATCTTAAGGAAGTATTGTGCATAGTACATTGTAATTTTCTGTATGATAACAAAGTTCTCATTATTATTTGGTGATTGTCTTCAAAACAGAACAATGGAAATGTTCCCTCCAAACTGAATATATCAATTTTGAAAATGCATTCTTTATGATTTTATATATCTTGTTGGCCTTGATGTTTATCACTATTATAAGACCTGGCACTTAACACTTAAAATTTATTTTTAATATCTTTATCCTGCTGCTTTAAATAATGTACAGAATTTCTCTGCAAATGATTCTGAGCTCCTTTACTTCAATAGTCTTCTTTATTTACCATGTAGTTTTATGTCTGTTGAACTATTCCATAAATCTGTAGTGACAGCTGTATCATAATTTTGCAACCATATAATAATTGTGTTTTCTTGAACACCAATAAGAACAGATATTATGTGTTATATTCATAGAATTATGAACTGTATTTTTGTGTAAAGTGAATTAAAGAATTTCAGCATTGTTAATTCTGAATTATGTGATTTTCTAACTTTGAGGCAGTTCTATTTTCTTTTTTATATCTTATTTTCTCAAAGAACATGAAATGAATGCATTATGAGAAACTTGAATCTGAGCTGGTTTTCTTGCCAGGTAAGGTACTCATAACTATACATCATTTGAATTGCTGCTTTTGGTCTGCAAACCTGAAATGTATTTTGCTCACAGGTGGATATGGCAGGAGTCCAAGGCGATTTTAAATGATCCATTATACGTTTTGCTGTACCTAGTACTGTGGTAAGTGATCATTTAGAAGTTAATTTTTCATATTATGGATGACCAGCTACTATCTGTTACTCAGGAGAAAATGTATGACCTTGGCAGTGTGGATGAACATTATGGTGGGGGGGAGGGGCAGGCCTGGTCAAAAATATAAGGCTTTTATGCTACATAACTTGGTGTTTTAACAAATTCATTTCAACTGATGAATTTCTAGCCACAGATTTATCACCATCAAACTTTAGTGTGGTTCCGCATTGTCAAACTCAAAGCTGTTATCCTGAGTAACAGTTAGCTTTGATCTTGATGAATTTGCCATATTTACATGTAAGCTGTATGTGTGTATAAGCTACAACTGACTTTTAATAAGAAAAAATTTATGAAACCTCGTTTATAAGCTGCATCATATATTTTTATTCAGATGATGACCATTAAAATGACAGAGAGAGAATTGCAGTCTGCCTTGAGTGACTGGTTCCTGTAACTTAAACCAATTTCTTGTGCCCAGCTTGCTCACCACCCTGGTAATGGAGGCAGCAATTACCTCTGAAACATACGTAATACAGTGAAACCTCTATCCATCGTTCCCGGATGCATCGTCCGGTTTGTTCGGTCCCGAATACATCCCATATAAAATAATGTTACATTTTCCCGCTTCTATCGTTCCTCGAACTATCGTTTTATCGCATCGATCGTTCAAAAATCTTAGTCCCGGCCCACAATTTTCCCGCAATGATCGTTTCTGAGAATTTAAAATGCTGGGTGTTGAGATAAATTAATACCGAAAGACGCACAATGTTTTTGGAATACACAGCGGTAACCTGTTATGTCGCCCAACCAGCACATTCTTTTGGAATGAGGGTCAGCGGTGCAGGGGTGATAGTTGGAGTGAATGGCGGTGCTCATTGTCAGAAATTTTACGATTTTAATTAGGGTGCACTCATATTTCGTTCCAGCGATGCCAAATGGCATGTGCA